AATAATAATAATAATAATAATAATAATAATAATAATAATAATAATAATAAACAACAAACACTGGTGACTCTTGGTGTGGTTCAACAAAGTTTCTCTCTCTAATGCTTCACAAAAGACCAGGAATAAATGGATAGATCTATATTCTTTGGGACACCAAGAAATTCTTCCATAAATAGTATTCCCATGCATAATTGACTAAAGAATCTTGCTTTACAAATGCTTGGTATTTAAAATTATTTCAAAGCACTTCAATAATAATATAAGAAAATTAAATTACCATTCTGTTAAATTTGTTGAACAAACTTAGCAGGTATGCAATAATTTGTTATTGTTGAATTAAATATTTTTATTTGAATCATCTTAGTGTCTTGTAAGATCTTCAAAGCACACAGTGGTACAGACTTCACATGTCATGATTAATTATACCAAATACATACTGCTTTGTACTGATAATTACACAAATACAATTGATATGCTCACCTTTGATCCTTGCAATCCTTGGGGTCCAGGTGGGCCTGGAGGACCCTAAATATAAAATTAATTCACTATTGCAGTATTCACATATATTCATCAAACTTGTTTCTGAAACATATTCTGTTATGCAAAATAAGCATCACAACAAGAAAACTGCATTAAAAACAGTCAAGGACTAACAACATCAATGACAATTGATGACGATATACAGATAGACAGACAAAATGTGTACAATTAAATATCAGAATGACATTAAACAGCAGTGATGAAATCTGACCCTAACAAACTAAACACTTTTGGTAGACAAGACATGCAATATGATTGTAGAATAGTAGCCAATTTACTTGATCCCTAGAGAGGTATGGCCATTTAAAAGGCTGCCTATTCCCAGTTAAAGACTAGCCATCCTGTAATATATACTACTTAACATAATGCCTGCAGGAAGAATTAAATAGAATTAATTTTCAAGGCTTCTAGGATTTTATTTTTATGTTTCTTTTTGCAGGAGAATAGGAAAATCTGACTCTTAGCACGATTTTTTTTTAAAAAGTACATTAATTTTCATTTACAACCTTGCCAAAGAGATCAAGACAAGGTAAGGATCGGGTTAAATCTGATATAGTTTATACTATGGTATCGAAGAATTATTAAGAATGTATCAATTCTATGGATTAAATAAGCAGCTGACATGATCAAAGGACACACAAAAAAATAGTGGGGTTAGGATATGTATGACAAATCATGCCTGGCTCAGATTAAAACAGCCTTTCTCAACTTTTTGCCCTGGAGGAACCTTTGAAATAATATTCAGGTTTCAGATTACCCCTGCATAAAAACCACCAAAAATATGAAACCTATATAATGCTTTACAACATGTACAACACTAGCAAAGCAACAGCCCAGCAGCTGAATCCCAGCACATAAAAATTCCAATAAATATGAGCACTAGAATTACATGGCATGCAATGTTAAAAAAGTATCTTTTTTTCAATCATGATCTCTTGCAGACCTTTTGTGGAGCTTAGGGACTCATGGAATCCCAGTTGAGAAGACTATAATCTCATTTCAGAAATGACTGACTCCCTAGTACCAGAAAATTATCCAGAAAGTACTGGGAGAGGAAAACTACAAGACTATTGCCCTCCTCTCTGCATACTGCTAATTAGTAAACTTGTGTAACTGTAAATCTTGTAAATAAGTCTTGGATAAAACAAATCTGCATGGAGTTCCATTAGAAAAAGTTTGGTTATTTGACTGCCTTATAGTAGGATAAAATATGGTCTGGTTGGTAATTAGTGGTCATTATTGGTTTCCAGGGTATAACTGAAAAACAAATTGCCCACTCTTTACAGACTTTTAATAGTATCTACTCAAAGGGGTCATCCTTAAAATTTTATGTTTTTATCTTTAAAAAGTCATACACCTCAATTTCCTCCAAGAGTTGGAATGGCATCACCAGGAGTTTAGGAGTTTAGGAGCTAAACTCCTAAAAATAGAAAGGACAAGACAAAGATCTAGCTTGGGTTTTTTTTTTTAATGCAAGCCTGATTGCAACAATTAAGATATTTGGGGTAAAGTTGGGGCATGCAGACTTTGATGCTGTCAATCTTTGCTCTACATGATTTTAGTCAGAGATCTTCTCTACTCTGCTATGCAATAAGCACTAGAGACTAGAAGAATAAGAATTGCCTTTGAGACCTTAAGCCCCACAATTTAATGTAAGTCTACAGTAAATCAATAATACAAGCTGTCATTTAGCTTCCTTTTTTTCCTTTCAATACTAATTAGCATTTCATGCGGAGTGCTATACAGCAATGAAATAATAAAAATCTATTTATATAAAAACTTTGATCTATAATAAATAAAATAAAGCAAAAGTTTCATTGAAATACTACTAACACCTAATTATCTTACATGAATTATAAAAGCCATAACCCATTAAAATATTATCATTATCATCATAATAACAATAACCTGCATTTATTTTGTACAACTCTAGGTGTAGATAATACTCCCACTTTCTCTTTCATTACAAGTCTTTAAGGGGAGTTAGGCTGAAAGAATCTGGAACTCACACGGACTTCATACCTAAGAATGACTAGAATTCATGATTTCCCAGTTTTCTAGTTCAGCACCTTAGTCAGTATACTAAACTGGCTTTATATTTCCTGCAAATTTCATTGTTTATCTAGATTTGGATGACTTCAATGTCAACTCATTTTACCTGTAAGTTAATGAAAGTAGAGGTGAAGAAGGCCGATAGGAAAGTATAAAAATAGAGGGTCAGCGATGTTTTCAATTACTTAGTTGCAATTTCAGTTAATATTATTTTACACATTTTTAAATAATACAAATATTCCCTTTTAGACATTATTTGATTTTGAATAGAAAAGGAATATTTTTAATGGACAGTGGTTGCATTGAAATTTCAAGTGACTCTGTTCAAAAATTACTTATTATGGCAATTAAATTCATATCAATTGCACTGAATGAAAAAAATACAATTTTGAAGCAAACATGTGCTGTATCTTCTAACGCAACCAATATGATTAAAAATAGTTAAGAAAACTAAGTTATAGGAAAAACCAACCTCTTTTTAAGTTATTGCATTTTAAAATTTCCACTGAAAATTACACCAATGTCTGGTTTAAATAAACATGTTTTAAAAGATCTTAGGATGCTAATGAAAGCTTGAATCCCTACTTTTTTGCTGAAAGGGCCATACTGCAGCTATTAATTGCCATAAGTAGTAAAACTAGAGTCCAAACTTTCCACAATGCGTCCACCGATACACCTGATTTAGAAAGTAGAAGTGGTGATAATGCAAAGTTAATATCTGATGGACAAAGACACATTTATAAATCAGAATAAGTGTAAACATGCAACACCACACAAGAAAACAGCTACAAAACACTGTCATGCAGTAGGAATTACCGTGACAGTTAAGGTGGTAATCCTCTGTTGGCAAAATATATTAGCAGAAAATAATGTTACCAGATGTTCAGTTTGAAACAGAATACTTTGCTTGTTTAAGAACAGATTTCACAGAACTAAGGAAAGTTTGAGACAAGCATCTAACTAGTTCCCCAAAAATAAAAAATTGTCTACGTACCATTTTACATCTTTACATCTAAGTATCTATATGTAACAATCCATCTACTTATTGAGTATTTCCTATTAATTACTTCGTTTGCTTTCAAAAAGAAACAGTACTGTCAATTTCCTATTATATTATAATTATTTTAAGATTAATTTTTGTAAACTCACAAATAATGGTCTTGAAGGAATGTATATGAATCTGTGGAATTATAAATCATTAGGTGACTATAATTATTTATATTTAATGATGTGTGACTTAAACTTGATGAAATTAATTTATATGAATAAACTGTACAGTACTGAAATATATAAAATAATAATAATCTCAATAGAGCAAGATCAAATAAAATACAAACAAATAAAATAATTATGAACAAAATTTAACTAAAAAGAAATATTTCTTTAAATTTGACCACAACATATGTTTTTCGAATAAAAGAACTTGTGTGACTTCCAAAAGATGTGCAGAACTGGTTTTAGTATTTAGCAAAAAGTATTTTAAATTTACTTTAAATTTAAAGTGGATTAAATGCTTAGATTTAATAATTTATAACTTTGTCTAAACAATTAATATGAATAAAAAGTTATCTCCCTTATATAGATGGCGTACATGAATTCCCTATATTTTGGATGAAAATCCTATTTATAGTTATATATTTGATCACCAATAAAAGCATTTATTTTTAGGTTCTTTGAAAAAATCCTTGAAAAGGGATAAGGATGAATCTTATATTGGCAAAAATAACTCAGTTTGTAAACATATGTCTCTATAATGAGACAGTTTTCTGATTAGATGACTAAATTGTAAGAATCATTGTTATTTCATATCCAAAATCCCTCAAGTGATACCTAGATTAAAGAACTTAATTTCATGAAGAATCTTTGATTATTCTGAGGGACTAGAAACTGGACTGGACATTTATACAGTATATGGAGTATTCTAATCATTTCTCATATTTAGCATATGTGTTTTCTACAAATATTACACTTTAGCTAGTTCTCAAGTCTTCATATAACCTAAACAACAAGTGTTATAAGCTAAATTCCAGCTATATAGTGGCTATATGACTATATAGTGTTTTCAGTTATGTCAAATTGACTTTAAAAAAGAAGACAACTTTGGACATAATAATTAATAGCAACATCTTTTCAGAAAACATTTACAAGAAATCTAATTTACACAAGACAATCCTGTCCATTACCTAACTATGGGTAAAGGTAACAATAAGCAGCCAGAATAAAATTATTTACAACTAATTGCCCCAGGTAGCCCTTTGTCCTATATTAAAATAACTTCATTTGAAATATACATGTTTGTGATCTATTTTGGTTTGTTTTTTCAACTTCCCAGTCTAGTTTATAACCCTAGAATTTCTTGTTTTTTTGCCATCTAAATACTAACCAAATCTGACCCAAACTTAGCTTCTCCCAAACTAATATATGGTTAATTAGCTGCTGCTCCCTGTTACGGCATTTTGAATTAACTCAGTGCAAATATTTAATATTGAAATATATTCTAGCATCTTATTAACCATAAATTGCGAGCAAAGATCTGAAGATCAAAAGCAATCTTTTATTTAATGCTATTATGGAAGAATGCCAACTCTGATTATCTGTTATCTGTTAATTAAGATTCCAGACCAGGCTTCCCCAACTTGGTACCTTCCTAAAAACTGGAACTAGAACTCCCAGCCAATAGAACTAGAAGCAATGCTACCTAGAAAATGTACATGTTGATGTACATTCCAAGGAACAACAAATTAAGGATAATTTGTTCCAGATAATCATTGCACATGGTATTTTCTAAAAATAAATGAAACTGTCTTTTATCCGTTAAATCACACTATTTTATGATTAACTTATTTCCAAGTTCTGTTATGGTGGAATGAAAACAGGGATCATATACATGTAAAGTTTATACTGATGCCATATGAACAACAGCACCTTATATTTATTGTGTATTGATCACAAACCTGTAATGCTTCATGGATATTTCCATTGAAGTCAATGATTTCTGTGGCACCTTGGTCACCTTTTTCTCCAGGTGGACCCTATAAAAAAACACTGGAAATGTACCAACGTGTCACATTTGTCACAAGCCCACATGACAAATTGTATTGATGAATGCAGTAAAAACAATTTCATTTTCCTAGGCTCATTTTGCAAGTATAATTAATTACAGTAACTTCACTCCACTGGTATATGTCAACATTAATATATTCCTAATTCCACTATTTCTTAATTTAGAATTAAGGAGAGGATCACAGAGATTGGAGAAAATTTTCTTTCTCCCAGCAGAGATTGGGTCTTTGCACAATGTGTTCAAACTGTTTTTTGACAACGGATTTCATTTTTGTCTATCCAAAACAGTAGACATCAACTACTTCAATGTCTTTATTGCCAGCTTTAAATATGGTTGCTGTACTTGTTGTCATTAACTTAGTCTGATGTATATTTACAATGAGTTCCTTGTCATTGGTATAATATACTTTTAATGCATTCTTGAGAAATCTATAATGCTGGGAAAGATGAAAAGAGAGAAAAAGAGAATCACCAGCAACAAAGTGGATTGTTTCAACTGCCGTGTATTTTCACAGCTATAGTGTCATCAGCAAAACACAGAATATTGATATTTTTTGGACTATTAACACTTGTTAAACCTAATCCCATTCACGTCAATATTACTTTTTCCAAACTGTAGAATACAACTCAAGTTATATCTATTCACCATTTCTTTTTTCTTGTTTTTTGAGAGAAAAATCTCCAATCCATTTTATAGTCTGTGAGTATGCATATGCGACTTAGTTTCATATATCAGTTATTTAATGCACAAAGTTGTAGATGTGTAAATTGTAGTAGGTGCTATGTTTGAAAACATACACTAAATCATTTAGAGTCAGACATTCATTTAATAAATTATTAATAATAGTACACAACTTGTGAGAATCGGTATATCTATGTGCTATATGTTAATGAATGATTTATGTGTTGGTTGAAAAGCATTGTATAAAGCAAAGTATAATGACTGAGCAATTCTGGGAGTTGAAATCCACACATCTACTAACATTGAGAAACACTGATATAGATTATATAATCAGACTTAAAAATATTGATTGAATCCCTTTGCCTCAAGAGAACCATTTTGTATATTATCAATTAAAGAACATATTTCAACTTACTTACCCTTGGTCCCATTGCTCCCAAATCACCATTATTTCCTGGATCACCCTAGCAGGGGGGGAAAGAATAAACATCAATATTTTAAGTTTGCTGTTCCAGTCACCAAAACCTTCCAATTCTTCCACAGAATTTTGAAGTGGATGCCAAAATTATCTTCATTCTTTACAAGATGAAAGCACTGAGAAAAGACCAGGAATAAGTCCATGCAACAGCCTAATTAATGAAGAATGCAAAGTAATAATTTAATAAATGCTTTGCTCCAGGGAATAACCAAAAGGCCTCTCACACCCTCACTCCTTCTAAACAAAACAGGGGAATAGCCTCTCCTGTTTTCAATAAATTTTGAACACATTTGATCATTGTGCAATAATTACAAGAGATTGGTATGAGGAGATGGCATCTTTCTTACATATAAATTCTCAATAAAGCTCTGAAGATGGCATGGCTGTAATATTGTGGTAGCTGTTTTCCTCAAGAGCTGCAATGATGGCTGCAGAGCAGATATTTTATAACTGGGGATGAATGGGAGAGAAAGAAATAGCTTTTTTAGGCTAGGGTACATGGCAAGGAGGATGCTGCTTTTGTAAAAGTAGGTAAAAATCAAACTTGTTTATCAAACGGGGACTATGAATTAATTATAATTATTCTAATCTTCCTATGGAGAAAAAGATATCGTGGAATGAAAGAACTGGTTGAGAAAAATCTGCTGGAAAAATCAGCAACATGAATCCTAACAGGGACAAATATAAAGTCCTGCACTTGGATAGGAATAACCAAAGGCTTGACTAGATGGACTTATCATGCAGTAACTGCAATACTTGCAAGTACAACAGTACTTGCCAAAAGGATCCAGTTGCCCTACAGTATCCAAGATGAACAGGAACCAACAATGTGTAATGCAACAGAAGAGAAAGCAAATTCAATTATAGATGCATCAAGAACGAATTGTGTTTAAGATCTAGAAAATGGTGTATTCTATTCTTCTCAATTCTGCATTGGTCAAGCCATATTCATAATATTGCAAACTGCTCTGAGCAACACAGTTTGAGAATCAAGACAGAAGGAATATTCACTGGAAGTTAGCTGGCAAGCACAGGTCTAAGTAGGTAATTGTGTTCATTGGGACATACTAGAAATAATTTTATTCCCAGCAGCAGGTAAGGAAATCATTTCCCCCACCTTTGAGGTGAGGAGCAAATACATAAAGAGCTCTTCAAGCCAAATTATATGTTAATGTTTTAAATAAATAATAATACAACAAATTAATTAATAAAGTATAATAGCAAAAATATTTCAGTATTTTGCATTTGCACAGACACTCCTATCTGTAAAGGAACTGACTTCAATAGACATAAAAGATGAAGAAATAAATGACCCTGCTATAGGATGCAATACAAATATATATATGAAAGAGTACTGTAATGTGTCCAAAGCTTCTCATTTCTTAAGTTCTTGTCCAACACAAATGTTAATCAAAAATGATTGGGCTTGACAGACCATAATCTTATACACTTTGGAATTTGTTCTTATACTTTACTTGGAATTTACAGGCAAAATGTTCACTTCAAGTTTCTTCAGTCAGAATAAAGCAAGAGTCAAGGCTCCATAAAAGGAAATCTAAACTACTTCCAAGAGAACAATGAAGCTCATAATCATAAGATATGAGGAAAATTTTATTTCTGCTGAAAGTTTTTCTTAACTGTGTTATTAAACAATGGTTGTATTTGGGATCATTTCAGAATAAAAAAAATCCTGACTGGTATAGGTATAAATTACATTTAAAAGATTCCCAACTACATTGGAAAGAAGGGTCATATTAATAGTATTTTATAATAGTGTGCATAAAATTACTCTTGTGAAAATCAGATTTACGTCTCTCCTTCAATCAAGATAAATTACTTGATTTGTCTAGAAAATTGGCCTAGACAAAATAGTTTATACAATGTGTGCTTAAAATACTGTAACACAAAGCAAGTAAGCAAACAAGGAAGGAAGGAAAGGTATAGAGAAGAGCAACAAAGATGATAAGAGATCTGGAGGCTAAACCATACAAGCTACAATTGTAGGAACTAGGTATGTCTAGTCTAATGAAGACAAAAGGTAAAGATTTGCCCTGTGCAGTTGTGTTCAACTCTAGGGGGTGGTACTCATCTCCCTTTCTTAGCCAGGTGAGCCAGTGTTGTCTGAAGACACATCCATGGTCATGTGGCCAGCATAATTATATGTGGAGGTGCACAGAATATTACCTTCCCACCAAAGTGGTATCTATTTATCTACTTGCATTTGTATGCTTTTGAATTACAGGAGGTTAGTAGGAGGTGGGGCAAATAACAGGTGCTCATTCCATCATTTGATTCGGAGTCTTTAATTGCTGAGCCATCACACACCCTTAAGAAAGACAAGAATGATATTATAGCTGTCTTCTAGTATTTGAGCGGCTGTTACAGAAAAAAGGAGACCAACCTATTCTCCAAAGCACTTGAGGGCAGGACAAGAAGCCACTGGTGGAAGATCATTAAAGAGAAACCCAACCTGGAACTGAGGAGAAATTTCCTGACAGTGAGAATAATTGTGGAATGGCTTGCCTCCAGAAGTTGTGTGTGCTTCATCATTGGAAGTTTTCAAGAAGAGATCGGACAACATTTGTACTTCTGTTTGATCAGGGAGTTGTAGAAAAAGACCTCTAAAGCCCTTCCAACCCTGTCATTTTATGTTAATCTATGTTCTAAAACTCTTTAACAATAAACATTGCTTATACTCATAACAATTAAAAGGTCAGAAGTGTTAAAAGTTAGGATTAGACTTAATGAATATCTCAAAGTATTTCCTCCAGTTTGGAGCTTCCCACATATCTACAGTATTTAGAATTCACAACCAACTGTAGTCTGGCCTGTTGTCTAAAAATTAAAATTCCATATATCCAGAAGGCATCAGAAAGCAAATTAAAAAAAAAGAAGTTCTTTGTATATTTTCCTGTCAAGAAAGTTGCAACCATCAGTTTGAAAGTGCAAGGCCAATTCAGAAAATTGTTCATTATGTAATATATAATAACTCTATAGTCACCAGGTTCTGATGTGATATACAAATTTCCAGACAAAATTGAATTTCCATGTTTATGATGAGAATTGACTTTTTCAATGCATTATCTATGGAGATAAATTCAAAGATTACCTCAAACTTTTACTAATTTACCAGATATATCATTGTTAAATAAGGATTTTGAATCTCTTTTAGAAAAATGCCAACAGCCAGTTATTTCCAAGCACAATGGAAACCTGGAGATTTCTTCCCAAGTTTGAAATTCAAATAATCAGAGAAAGCTGCCCTTTATCTAATGGTACCAGAAGCATCTTTTTTTTGGAACAGAACCCTGGCTTCCTGAAAGAAATTGCCTCAGAATTATCAGAAACTGCCTTGGGTCAAAAATGATTAAATTAAATTCCATACTTCTAAAATTTTCATTTTTCATTCAGAGCATGCTCTGCCTATAACTGCTAGTCTTAATGTCTAATGTCAAATAGTATGTAATGTCTTATTTAATTTTAGTGCGAACCTAAATACTGCACTAAAATGTGGTACTAATCAACGAATTGGGGAAAAAAGAGTGGACCTTATATAGCAAAGAACTCAGAAAGAACAGAAAGGGGGGTTAACTGGGGAATAAAAACTTTTATCAGGAAAAGCTACATACACTTATATATACAGTCACTGAAAATAATTTTATTACTTTTTAAATTGATAGTCTTTGAACACTCTACCAAAATAAAAGGTAATGACATGTGTTTGCCATACATAACACCCCATCCACATATAGAATTCAGTAGTAAACAAATAACTGTGTTGGTTTAGTGTATTTAACCAATAAAACCAGATGTTGCTAATAACTGACCTTTGACCCTTTAGGGCCTCTAGTTCCAGATTCACCTGACCTCCCCTGTGTATCGGAATACATACAAAATGGAGTCGAGACAGAAAAAGTAAAAAGAGAAATATGAAGAATTAGTTTTGTCCATAGGAAGTAAATATGTAGCAGAAACTATGCATATTAAAACAGTTGCTATTATAAAGTTACACTATAGAGACAAATGTATATATAAGAAAGTTAAGTAATCATGCATGTTATGATGATTTAACACAAGAGGATTAGTAGAAGAAAATCTAGAAATGTTTTGTACATGTTCCAGGAAATATTATTTCCCCAACTCCCTGAAAAACATCCTATGACTTCTAAATGAAAATGTCAGATATACAATTTGTAAGCTGAAAATATTTGTTTGATTCAATCATTTTCCTTCCTATAGTGCCTTAGAAATGAGAATTCACCTCTGGCAACTTCCAGACCAATAGTTTAGGGCTCTTTCCTATCACTAAATTATGTTCTTTTAAAAAGTGACCTTCTTCCAGATCATGCAAAAGATTTAATAAAAATATCAGTAGAATTTCTGAATGTACTGGAATCAAGAAGCTTATATACACAGTTGTGCACAATTATAGAAACAAATGTCACAAATAATAGAAATCAAATAAAAAGACAAAGTGAAGTATTTCGTATAATGTTTAGCTATGCTGTATGAAATCATATTTGTTAAGTCTCCATTTTCTGTTCCTATTCCCTTTAAAATTAAAATAGTCCCACAATCTGATTTTCTTGTTAAAACGCTGGGAAGAATTCATTGAAACACACAGAATTTGACACCTAGTCAAAAGCATTTGGCTTGATGAGGTCAAAGGGAACAAATGCTGAAAACAGCATTGTGTTGATACAATGCAAGCTCTGTTCCTTGTGTTCACAGGTTGTGACATCATATTCATGTACAAAACGAGAGGAACTTGTATCATTTTGATGAAATGGGAAAATCCTGCTGAAAGCCTTGTACCTATTACATCCCCACACCTTGCCTTTACTTTGGCTAATCTAATAATAATAATCTAAACAATAATAACAATAACAAAACACCTAGACAGGGTTGGATCTGTTTAGTAGTTAGATAGCAGCAGATCACCATTAATTCCAAGTCTTATCAGATGAATTGGGAATTGGAAAATCATCCTGAAAGAAAGTAATGACAGACCACTTCCATACTGTTGCCCAGAAGATTGCATGGAAATATCCATGCAGTCACTAGAAGGTGAGCACAATTCAAAAGATTCTTTTTTCACTACAGTTTTGTTGTTAAGATAATGCCAAAACATCTTATTTATTTATTTATGTATTTATAAAATATTTATATAACCACCCATCTTAGGTCTTATCTATGATGTATGATCATTTCACATAAGCAGGACATTATTACGCACAGGTTTTAAATGAAATTCTAATGAAAATCTAGAAAATCAGTTGAGTTGCACTACAAAGTCTGATTTTAAAGGTCTTTCCTTCCTCCCTGCCTCCCTGCCTCCCTTCCTTCCTTCCTTGTCTGTCTTGGACATTAACCATATAGAATTTTGAAAATTCTACTTTAAATGATGAAATGCGTTTAAAGTTGCCTCTATGGCCACTCTACCCATATAGTTAGAAATCAGAATTTTGTTATACTTTTATTATATTTGTTATGCCTAAAGCACTTTAATCCCCATTAAGTATGAGTATATAAATAATATTTGCATAGTGGCAGTTTTTGATTATTAATATGAAACTTCTCCATTTGTTTAATTAAGTTTCACTGGACTATGCAGTAAAAGTGAATGGCATGCATTTAAATCACTTGGAATACATGTTCAATCACAATGAAATAGATTTTTCTGGTTCTGTTTAATATCCCAAAACAAAGGATGTCTTTAAAGAAAATACTAAACACAAGAGTTCTCAAAGGCACATTAAATATTTCAAAGTGAAACTGACCTTTGGCCCTGGAACTCCAGGCTCACCTCGTTCACCTTTCCCAGGAGGTCCTATTTCTCCTCTCTCACCCTGTTAAAAATCATAGCAGATACACACAGAAGCATCATAGGACATCAGTAACTTTTGGTATTGATGAGAGTTTCTGTTGTAACATCAAAGAGAAGTAATATCAAAGAGTATGTCAAATTGGCAATTGATCCATACATACATTAGTACCAGACCTGTTTAGGAGAGGGGAGTGTAAATAAATAAAAATACCATTGTATATGCTTTTTCTCCCCTTTTGATTTGCCAGAAGTAAATAATCCTTGAACGCAATGGATAAAATAGGAATAATTTCAGGTGGGAAAAAGAGACAAAACAGATAATGTTTCCCATATTTAATTGTCCATTTATTGGTTTCAGTTTTAGGTGTTGAGGGCTCAAATTGGTTTCACAGAATGAAAGCAGCTTTAGGCAATGCTGACCCTCTTTTTAAAAAGAAGAATGAGATGAAGTCTCAGCTGTACAATTAAGAACATATCTAAGGCAATCACTGTTGCATCGTTTCCTATAAGGTTGATAGCAGTTTAATTTAATTAATTTATTTTACACACATCACACATTTTGTAATGGGTTGAATTATGATCTCAGTCTGATAAACTTTCCCTTTAGTAAGACATTAATGGCTGTGGAGGGAAATGCCTATGTTCTAATGATTAGGCACCAACTGATCTGATGCAGAACAAATTGTGCGTCATAAGGAAAAAAAACGTAAATCATACCTTTGTCCCTGGCAATCCTGGCAATCCAGGTTCTCCCTGGGGACCTAGGAAACCCGGTTCACCCTTTTAATAAATGAGCATATTAAAACTTTGTTAATTTAACTGTGAATAATTACAGAAAACATGAGTTTCCTTGCAGTTATGTTTTCCCTAGTCACGTTTCTAGCTGTAACCCAATAGCTACAGACAGTTACAATTAATCACGTTTGATTTCCATCAGCAAGAATTTCTTTCAGAAAACCCCCACCTAAGTTAAGAAAAGCAAGTGAACCAGAAGCTTTTATAGCACAAGACTTCATGAAATGAAAACCTGATACATATTCACAAATTACACACCCTCAGTTTACAGTATTTGATAGAATTCCATTCATAAGACTATGGACAGGTACAACAATCACATAACAACAACATATTTGGACAAGGATTCCTAATATATCCGGGAATTTACTATATAGGACTTCACTGGTGTGAAGGAATAAAAATATGGCAGTAGTATGTGGTTACTTGTGCCAATATAGCTAAGTTAAGTTTGTGGACATTTAGATGTATAACTTTTTCTACCACTCTCTTTCCATTTAAAAGTGATCATCGATGTTAATTATAATAGTTTCCATTCTCTCTCAGGCTGTCAGGGTAGATATCTTTCCAAAACTTTCCCTAAGTCCCTCTGGGCTGAGAAGACATTTTTTTCACAATTTTACTGTCTCTTTTATCTTCTTTGGACTTCAGCCAGAAATACTACAGGAGTCTTACGTGAGCTTCCCTGTAACCAAAATGCCTTCAGTAGTTCCAGTTGCATAGAATCCATTGTGGTTCCTAATCCATCATTTATTCTTTTCCAAAACTTTCTCTTCAAGTACAGCCATCCTGATTGTTTCATGTAACAATATTTCTGCCTGTTAGAAATGTTTGTTTGTTATCTGCTTTCTCGCACAGATTTTATTCATGAACTTGCTTGTCTGAAGCAAACAGTGCTTAGCTGTTGTATATTGCTACACAGACCACATGTCCCCAAAGCTTTCTGATCCAACTGGGTTTCTTACTAGTACATCATTCAAAGCTTCAGAGTAGCCAATTAGTCCCTGTAATTTCTTTTCTTAATTCCAATTGCTCTTCCCTCATTTTTGTCAATTGTTTTGATTAAGTTCATCCAAGAATTCCCACTTAGAGAGAAGACTAAACCAAAGTAGAAGTTTAGGAGCCCCAGCTGTCTTCCCATCCCTCAACTCACTTACCATTTTATCTTCCCAGGAGGTCTGTCCTTTATCTTATTTTTACTATTGTCATAATCCCAATCCATTTTTTGTAGCTTTTAGGTTTTCTTGCACCCCTAAGATCTTTTCTGCTTATCCTGATTTTCTTCTGCAGGTATTAGTGCTGTCTGGTGCATGTTCTCATCAGACCTGTTTAATTAATTAGTGCCCTACTTTTATTTTCTTAATGTAAATACCAAGCAATTAGGAATTTCATTTGTCTATAGTATATCTGATAAATTAAAATAAACAATCATCACCACATATGCTTTAAGAAGAGATCCCTTTTAATTAAAATAAATGTTAGAAGCATGTAATCATTGGCATTACTAAGAAAAGAGATTTCATCATTTATATTAAACTACATAATGAAAAAATAAACCTGTCCTATTGCTGTTCACAGCATTGCATAAATAAAATTAGTATGAAAAGCATTTCCTCTACATGAGTGCAATGGCAGTTTTTCAACAGCTAGAAATAGAAAAACATATTCAGACATGGTATGCAGGCATATCCCTGAAAAAAATAAACTGCAAAAAAACAGACCAAAAGAGGTAAGCTAAGAAATAATTATGGTATACACTGCAAATTATGTATAAAACTGTGAATGATTTTCAAATGTATTCTTGTAATGTTTTTTTAATCATTAATGGAAACAACAATCATTCTTATGGAAGGAAAAATGAAACCTTCAGCAATTTATTTGATAGGTTCAAACTTCTTGAGTACTCACAGACTTAATATGCCATAAAGTAACTCAGTGGTTACTTTGTTCTCTAATCTGTTTAATCATGATTTCAAGGATCAGAAATAAAAATGGATTGTGTGATCAAAACTACTTTGTAATGTGAGCCTTTAAAAACATCTTCAGTTTCAGAATACCATGAGCCAGTCGATACCTTAGAAACATAATATGCACACTCAAAATACCAGTACATCAAAAATCACACCCATGTTCCATTTTCATTCATCCTCCATATCTCAAACTCTGCTGCGGTCCATACTCATTGATGCCAACTTTCCATAGAATACTATTTATGATTATGTAAACCTATAAATACATCCAAATAAACATCTCTCATCATTTCTTATTCTATTGGAAACTGTTTTTTTTTTATGAAAAGTACAATCCAAGCTATCAATATCCTGCCTCAGGTTACTATGATATATTTAAAAAATCTTCAACTTCTTATCAAATGGGCAAGGGTAATATGATTATATATCTTAATCTAGAAATGATCCCTAAGACAGTTAACCATCCACTGTCACACAAAAAGAATTGCATCAGAACACTATATGGAAGATTAAGAATCGAGTGTGGTACCCAAAAAGCTAAACAATTGGAGAAAAGGTACCTACATGAACAATTCAAGCATATTGGTACCAACAAGCATTTATTACAAGATGCCTGTGCAAAAAGCAAAAGAGAGAAAAGAAAAAAAAAGGTAAAAGACCAACTATATGGCACACTTTGCCATACATCAAAAAAAATTCAGAAGCAGTAGAACGTAGCTTTCGAGATCTGCAAGTGAGCATCACACACTGCCCAGAGTCTACCATATGAGGACAAATTATGCATTGTAAAGATGCAATGCATTTTAGGTGATAAGCAGCACTTGGAATTGTACCCAGAACCCAAATGGCAACCAGTGCAGCTGGAAAAGAAGTAGAGGAACATGCTCATATCACAACATACCCATCACTGCCTGTGCTGCTGCATTCAAGATCTGCATCAGAGTAGGTTACTAATGATTTTCAAGAGAAACTCCACTTAAAGCACATTTCCATAATCCAATTGACAGGTAACTATGACATGAGTGACTCTCAGAAGATCTTTCAAGTCCAGGAATTTGTGCAAAGGCCCTCATGGCCACAACTGCTGTTTGTTCTTCAAATATGAGTTGTGATTCCAAGAAGACTCCCAACTGTATACCAGCTTTGCATAGGAAAGTACAACCCCCATAAACACTAAACTAAAGATAGAAGGACCCTACAACCAGAGGGGGTGAAACAAAGAAAGGAATTTTTGATGCAGGTTTTGCATTTATGTATTGGCAGCTCTAGGTACAAGCTAGTAGTAAGCTAGACAAACCAGGTGATTTTTTTTCCAGTAAAGAACAGATTTCTACCTTTTTACTTCCTTACTTCAGCTGAATCTTGCTACATCATGGATTTAACCATCAGATTGACTTGTTCTGTAATATTAATCAAATACAGCACTATTTGACAGAGCTATTGTGAGTCAGAAAGTGAAGGTCTCCACTCTTTTTCCAACTATTGCATCCAAATTATAATGTAATTATACAAGATGACAGTGGATAAGTATAGTTTCAAAATGTATTGATATTTTACTAAAGCAGCTATGCAAAAGATTTTGAAGAACTTCAACATGTAATATTGAGTTGGCCATTCTGTCTACTGACTGACTTTTTTGTTGTTGTCTGAAAATGAACAGCACAAGCTTGTTACATTCTTTTGCACACCATAAGAAGCATATTGTAAAGAAATGGTTGTTTTTTAGTTGTGTGCTGTCATCAGGTACTTCACTGAGAAAACAGAAAGCAAATTAGATCCTATCCAGATTAGTGTTCTTAATGGTGTGTGAAGGCAAGTAAACAAGTAATTCCATTTCAATAAGGCATTCCACTGCAATGCAGCAGCAAAGAGAAAACAAAGAGATATCCAGTTTGATTTGATCGGTGCTCTTTATGGATTCAGACGCCATGGTGCCTTAATCTTCAAAAGCCAAGAATGCAGACAGGTGTATTTTAATATTTATTTAATGGGTAATTATATGAATATTTTCAAAGCGGATGGGAAGTTATCCTCTTCTCAGGAAAATACAGTGAAAATATTTTTCAAGTGTCCTACTGATTCAGTTTTTAATACAGAATGTCTATGAAGCTCATACTAATCACAAATTAATCACAAATTAAGCTTTATTTCAATTTTTATTCAACTTTATGATGAAATAGATACTTCCAACTGAACTGGTTTGGTCTATTGATTAAAACACTGGACCAGAAGCAAATAAACCCGATTTCTATTCCTATTTTAGGCATGGAAGTCAACTGGGCCAATTGCTTCCCTTAGTCTTAGGAAAAAGGCAAATGCAAATCATTTATAAAAAATATTGCCTAGAAATTTACAGGGACATGTCCATGTTCTTGCTAGGTGTCATGCCTATCTCAAAAACAAACCTAAACAACTCAAGACAGAATATGGGAGCAGAATAAGTTGTATGGCATATTTACCAGGATAAATATTTTAATGAATTGAGGGATCATGTCAAATTAGTTGATAAGAATAGGGGAAAAAAAGGAATGTCCTCAAAATGGAAAAGACTGTAGACCTTTCAGCTGAAAGAAGCTGCCTTGAAAATGAGCTGCTACTTGGAAGGAACTTCTTTACTACTAAATTTAATCATTTTTATAATGTCTAAGCATGGTTTCTTTCTTCCTTACTCTTTTGCAGAACTCTATAGGTTTATAAAAAAGAAAGGGGGGAGGGCTGTGTGTAGCTTAATGGCTATAGATTGCACAAAATAAGAAACTTAGCTACCCTTCACTTCTCCAACTATGGCTGATACCAAGTGATGATCTTAATTTACAGAAGAAAAAGTTTCAGGTATGTTAACAGTGGTCCAAACTGCATGTTCATTATGCATGTCCCATATTTATAATAAAACTGTATGGATCAATGTTTTTCAAGCTTAGAAACTTCTAAGATGCAACTCCTAGAATCCCCTGGCCAGCACTAGAATAGATAATATATGTATATTAATTACCTTAATTCCAGGTAACCCAGGAAGCCCAGGAAGTCCAGGTTCACCCTGCAATTATATTGCATTGCAATAGAATATTACATTGTTTTAATAGCAGGAAAATGTTGCACAAATCAAAATATGTACAGTATTTTGAAGCTACTTCTTACTTTATCTCTGCTACTTAAAATACCTTTCCATTTAATATAGTGGAACAAAATTTCAGTTCATTGGAAAGGACAGTGTCACTTTTCACTTCTGAGAATCAAAGTTCAAATACATATAGGAAGCCAAAATTATATATTTGAACACATTACCTTTTGCCCTGGTCTACCCGATTGTCCAGGTTCTCCCTAAAACAAAGAAACAAATTATAAAGCAGAAGATTAAAATTAAAGGATGGCATCAATTTCAAGATAAGAAAGAAAATTTAATTTTGGCATACATGTGAAAAAGTTCTTGTTACTCACATTACCTTAATTCCAGCAGCAGAAGATCCAGGATCACCCTGGATAATAATAATAATAATAATAATAATAATAATAATAATAATAATAATAATAATAATAATAATAATAATAATA